TGAGAGACAATGGGCATTATCGATACGATGCCAGAACGTCAGATTGCGATTTCCCTTACCCTGGCAGGTGTGACAATGGTCACATCAGCTGACCTCGTGATCAAATTTCGGCGGTGTCGCCTGCAAAATGACATGCAAGACACTGTATCATTCCGCTTCAAAGAAACGGTCGATATCATTGCTAACGTTCGGCGGAACCGAATAAGCGCCCGGCATAAATAAAGCCCAACATAGCTTTCTCGAAATCTCCATCCGAAAAAGTTTGGCATCAGGATTCAGCATCAACCACCACCTCTATCACCACCGTGGGCCGTCCATGCCCTCCTCTTCTTCTTTCCCTTATCTCCCCACACTTTATTCCTTCCCTTTCTTCCTTTAGGTCTCTGTTATTCTTGTTGTGAAAGATGTGGTATAGAAGGCAGGATTCAGCGAGCGAATCTGGGTCGGTGAGTTTTTTCTTTTGTGGTAGTGTGGGGTTTGGACTGACGGTCGTGTGGAATGTTGTAGAGCCAGACAACCTCTGGTGTGGGCTCGCCAACTCCTACGTCTACACCCTCCCCGACGCCACCGCTGAGTACGACCTCGAGCACGAGCGTGACGCGTCCAACGAATACAGACACTGGCGCTGTTACCAGACCTAGCTCGTCTGATACCGATTCGTACGTCTTTTCTCTGCCTAATCTATTATAAGTAATTATTAATCTTTTTTTATTGCTGTAGAACTCCTACACCGACGCCCACTCCAACACCCTCCCCACCATCGACCTCAAATACTCAATCTGTCACCAATACCTCCTCCACAGACTCCAACACGGATGTATCTCGCACCTCCCAATCCACGGGCACTTCGAACCCTAACCCATCCCTCCAACCCCCCGGTGCCAACATGCCCACTCCAACGTCAATGCTCCCCACTGGCCCCACCTCGGGAAGTTCGTCTTTGACATGGACGACGTATACTACCGAGTTGAATGGGAAGCTTACTACCGTACGTTTACCCTTCCCCTTCTCTTTCTTTTCCGTAACTAACCAACCCCATGTTGGCGTATAGGTAACCTCCTCAATACCAACAGCCCTCTCCCCCTCCTCCTCGAAGCCCGGCACGGGCCGCACAGGTATAATCGCCGGCACAGCCATCGCTGGCATCTTCTTGCTTCTCTTGCTCCTCGCGAGCCTCTTTTTGTACCGCCGCCGCCACCGCCGCAAGCTCGAAGAGCGGCTCGACACACTTCCCCAGCACGGGGGAAGGGGGAAGGAAGACCGTGGACTCCTCGACGGGGAGGACTTCTACGACGACGCCGAAGGGGAGGACGTGGCGATGCGGGCGTATAAGGATCTTAACACGCCCGCGTCGACCCTCGGTGTCACTAAGAACCAGACACAAGAGATTTCGCGGGCGACTACACCCACCACCCCGCTGGATATACCCCCCCTCACCATCCCCGATGAGTTTGGCGCTGGTGGAGGCCTAGGGCTCAGGGAAGTTGTGGATAGCGTTATGGGCGCTCCTGGGGCTTCATCGCACACGCCGGAGTCCTCAAATGACTACGGGGGCATTACACTCGACTCGGAGTCTGCGACGCCTGGCAGTTCGTGGACGAGTACCATGATGGCGGGATTGCGGAACAGTACGCGGAGGAGTGTGGAGGGGAGGAGGTCGAAAGAACTGGGTCGTCCGGGGCCTTTGTCGGTACCCGCGACGCCTGGTACGGCTCCACAGGGACTCTCAATGACATACGCTCCCACATCCTCACTTACCCCCTCAAGTAAATCGACAGCGGACGGACCGATGGCCATTCCCAGCTCGTCCTCTGTAACGTCGGGGAGCGTGCCCCTGCGCGAGGAACTCGAGAGATTGGTACGAGAATCGAGTCTCAGTGCAAGCACCTCGTTCTCGCCATCTATGACCTCGCGGAACAGCACCACCACCATTGGAGGCTTCACGAGCCCGCTGTTTGTGACGAATGGACCACCGTCGCCTACTTCTGTCCGGCATTTCTCGTTCAGAGACACGCCGATGGCGACTATGAGGGAGTCTGGGTCACCTATATCGATACTGGTGCCGTCACCTCCACCATCTGCTACAGCGACCGCGACGGGCGCACCGCCGATACGAGCGACGTCCCCGCCCCGCCCCCCACGTTCACCTGCGAGGTCGCTGCCCTTTGCTGCAAGTCGTAACCTATCCTCCGCATCCGGTCCAGGTTCCCCTCCGCCGGTGCTAGCGGCCTCCAGCTCTACGCCCATAGGTCCAAAGGCAGGATACGCATCGACACCCCCACCGCGCATCATCACCTCCCCTCCTCCTTCCACCTCTACCACCGTCTCTACTTCTCCCCCACCATTGCCCTCCTCTCCACAACCCCACTCCCGCCGCCCTTCCTCCCCCACTACGCCCCGATCCTTACGATCACCGCGCCCCAGGCCCCTCTCCGCCACATCCACCTCCAAGAGGCTATCGGTCGCGTCGATCCCAGGCTCTCCCCGCCCCAGCACCACAGTGGGGCCGACGCCAGCGTATATGTACGCGGACCCATTCAGGAGCGAGGACCCAGATCCGGGGGACGACGGGAGTGTGTACTTTGAGGTTACGGGTTTAGGTGAGGGAGGGGAAGGGGGGATGCCGAGCCCTTCGTGGGGGGACGCTGGGGCAGGAGGGGCGTTCCCAGCGCTGCCGAGCCCGGGGTCCCCGCCATTGCCATCGCCTTCAGCGAAGTCTGTTAAGTCGTTTGATGGAGAAAGGGAGAAAAGGAGGTCGGGGATGGCGGGGATTTTTGGGAGGGGGACGTAGGTTGTGAAAGGAAGTGAAAATGAGAATGAAGTACGGGCTGAGGAAGAGCGGGATCGGTGGCAGAGGCGTTGCTGGCTGAGGTCGTTCTATGGGGAGAGAGGCTGACGAATCTGTTGTGGAAAGGGTAGGAAGGGCGACGATGTGCCGTCAAAGCTTGGGCTCTGCAGGAGGTCGGGGTGGGTGGTGGTGGTCGCTGGAAGTCGAGAGCTGGTCAGAATCCTTCGGTTAAGGAGTGGAGGAGAATGTGAGCCGTGTGCGTTCATCAAGGACGTGAGGGAACGGCGGACACATCAAATTTGACGCCAAACCCCACGGAAGGGTATAACAACGTCGAGAATACCCTGTTCTGGAAGGGCTGCGATCAAGACGAAGATGAAGAACTCGCTAGCCATGAGGCGTATAACCCCAGGTCGACGAACCATCGAAAAGAACTTTATCGGCTGTACATACATACATACATCGTCGAACATTATACATAAATTTCACGGATACTTATGCCTTATACCACATGAATTACACCCGCTTTCTTTGCTTTGTCGCTACCATATTTATTATCATCCTGCTAAGCCATTGTCTGTGTCGCTGAGCTTGTTGGGATTTGTTGTGCGGTAACAATAAGCCAAGTAAGTTTAGGGTAAAAAAAAATCCACATTGAGTTTACATTGAGTTCACGGAACCGGTTCGAACGTGATGGCGGAGGCAGCGACGCAGTGTACATATGCGTATACGCTACGGTGGCGATAACGATGTAGGTATGTAGCAACGCATCTCCAAGTCTATCCGCGCAAAATCGGAGATTCCAAGGTTGAGAGAAGGAATTGAAGCATATGCATGACGTCACTTGTTCAGATCCTTCTCGACCAAACATCGAAGATTAAATCGAAATCGATTAGATATTTCCTCCCATTGGTGCAACGTCTGCAGTGGTATACAAGTACCTAGTTCCAACGGCCAAATGAAAGAGCATGCATGGCGTGGGACAAAAAAAAAATAAGGAATTCCGGTACGGGGAATCGAACCCCGAGCTGCCGCGACACTTTCAAGGATGAAAGGCGGCAATGTTAGCCGTTACACCATACCGGACGTATTGAGTGGTCAAAAGAATTTCCCATGACCGTCACCTCTAATATTCCACAACTTGTGTGCGCAACGGGTCTTTTTCCGTGGTCATTCAAGTTGTTTTACCATCACTACAGGTTATGAAACCTTGGTTGAAAAAACAGCCTTTCTCGCTGCACGGTCCCCTTCCATTGATAACCACAAATGACTGCACCTCCCACTCCTTCGAGCTTCAATCCGACGCGTGTGCGTGCCGGATCCCATGGACCCATGACGACTTTCTGGGAAATTTCTGTTCAAGGCCGCCATACCTTGAGACTGAAGTGTCGAAAGCTCATATGAACCTGGCGCTGCGCATCTTCCCGTTTCCAGTACCTCTTCAATAAACATATGATCTACAGCCTCCGTACAGCACCACTCCTGAGCCAGACGGGCACATACTAGAACACTTCGTGACATACCTCAGACGACAGCTCGGCTAAGCTTCGCGGCATAAGTATGGAAGCACCCTTACTTGTACGTCCGGTTCACTATCATGATGATGGGTTCCCAAAAACAATGTGACATGATTCTAGCATGGTCGATGAGGTGCTCTCTGTCGTTGCGTTACTCGTCCCGTTCCCGTTCCTACCACAGCCGAGGTCTCGTCCATGCGAGTTGTGCTATTATTATCATTGATTCCTGATTGTCCAGCTGCGTATATTTTCCGTTGGTGCCCTCCGCGTGTTCACTACGTCACGTCAGTGCTATAATTAACCATCGATAGTTTGTTGTCGAGGCGGCTTTGTATCCTTCTACGATTTTGGTACTTCTCGCCTCGTGCCTTCATCTCGCTTATGCCAAGGGCAATATGGGCTCTTGTCAGCCGCCGCATCGCATGACGAATTTTGGCTAGATGCTAACCACCACCTTTCCCTCTCCAAGGTTCGGCCCCTGATACAGCGCCTTTCCCCTTGCGACCAAGCTTCACCACTACTGCTCCCTACCTATTATTTTCGACTGCAATTTTTCAGTTCTGCATCTTCCGAGTAGTCTCACATGACGCTCACCGCTGTATAAATTTGACGTACGCCACGCAGTGATTCTTCAAGGATAGCATTGACCTTATTGAGCAGGAATTGCGATTTTTAGCGCGATACTTGACCGCGTGGATCGTCCTCTGCTCATCAGCTCTGAACATATCATGCAGACCCGGACATTTTCAACAACTGGACTTCTTTTGTCTTCTGTGTCTCCGATAAGTGTCTATTTTTACTCTCTGCTAGGTCGCCAATAACGAACCCTTTGGACAATATCCTCAACGCATGGCATAATCTATTTTGAAAGCTGCAGCATATGCTTCTTGATACTAGTGGAAGGGGCTTATCTCAATGAAAATGTATAAAGGCGACGAGCTTTTGCCTCAATTCGTTAAGATCTCATCGATCCTTCCCTCACAGGAATACCTTGTCTCTCTCACAATGAAGCTCAGCTTTGTCCTCGCTGCCCTCCTCACCGGTGCCATCGCCGTTCCCGCCTCTTCCGAGCGCATGGCTGCTCGTCTTGAACGTCGCGCTGGGCGTCAATCGAAGCCGAACAGCCGCATCGCTTCCAACAACTTGGTCGCTGCTAGCAACGCCTCGCACGTTCAGTACAGCTCGAACTGGGCTGGCGCCGTCTGGGACACCTATCCTGCTGTGACTATCGTTTTCTTTACTACTAGCGCTTGTTCTCACCATCTTTACACAGGGAACCTTCAAGTCCGTCACTGGCACTTTCACCGTCCCTACCCCCTCGGGCAGCAGTGGCGCTGCTTCCGCCTGGGTTGGTATCGATGGTGATACTTGCGGTACCGCCATCCTCCAGACCGGTGTCGACTTCACCATCACTAACGGTGCTGTATCCTATGATGGTACGGCAGTCATCGCATCTCACTCATCACATCAAATTGACATCTTACTCACAACCAGCTTGGTACGAATGGTACCCCGACTATGCCTACGACTTCTCCGGAATTCCCATCAAGGCTGGTGATGTTATCACCATCACCGTCACCGCCTCCACCACCAAGGCCGGCAGCGCTGTCATCACCAACAAGACGACCGGAAAGACGGTCTCCAAGTCCCTCACTTCTACCGCTGCTCTCTGCGAAGAGAATGCTGAGTGGATCGTTGAAGACTTCGAGGAGGACGGATCACTCGTTCCGTTCGCCAACTTCGGCAAAGTCACCTTCAGCAGTGCCACTGCCACTACTACCTCGGGAACGACTGTCGGTCCTTCGGGCTCTACCATCATCGACATCCAGCAGAGTGGCAAGATCCTTACATCTGTTTCCACCAGCTCCTCTGGTGTCACCATCTCCTACGTCTGATTTCTCTACTATCCACGGTGTTTCGGTAGTGAACAAAGGCACTCAGTAGTTGCTCAGGGATGTATCGTTATACCTGTACGTGATAAGGATATACAACTGTGTATTGCCTCTCGACAAAGTTTCGAAATATCCTCCCATCCCCCCGACTTTGCCTCCCGTTGAACTTAGCCACGCCACGCCCTGTCTCACTTCCCAACCAGACTTTCCCTTGAGCAAAGAACGTGAAACTGCAACGACATAAAAAGCAGGCGAGTATCAACAGGAAATATGAGCGATGAAATTCATCGTGACTTCTCAGGAGGTTGTCTGGAGATAGAAATCTCGGTCGCCATTTTGCATCTCCAAGGAAACCGAGAGGCGCCCCTGGGAGAAGAGTCGGGGAAGTTTTGTCTTCTCTATGTCGCCAAGCATTTTGATGTCCTCCACAAATTTTCGCGCGTGGCGTGCATTGATGTGAAGTTCTCGGAAATTAGGGAGTGTGCAAAGGATCTCGTCGACTCTTTCCCAATTCATCTTGCAGAGGGAGAGGTCGAAAACGAAATTGTCGTACTCGATGTCGATGCAGAGGTACTTGAGAGCACAGTCTTCCTTCGGCAACGTCTTGAGAACCAAAACTATGGAGGACGGAAGGCGTTTGCCAGGGATGTAGACCAGGAAAGTTGCCCATCGTAGATTGACCATGTTCCCAAGGTCGTAGTGGATAAACTCTTGAGAATAAGTGCCTTAAGTGGATTATTAGGAACAATGTGGCTTGTGGGTGTATTTTGCCTCACTCACGAGTATTCAAACCAAGTGATATTTCTTCAACGGAATCCCGACAGATGTTGCCAACCAGCCTATTCCACCCATGCCAGTCAAAATCGGATATTTCCAGCTTCCAGATGTGGGCGAGAGTGAAGCGGCGGATCTGCGATGGCCCACGGAGTCGATGTGATAATGATGGGTAAGTTTCTGACCACTCATTGACGATGAGCGGGTGGCATGATTCCATGTGGAGTGCTTCAAGGTTTGCCGAACCTAGAAGGTTGGCGAGGGGGAACCCGTGGAAGGGCCCGATGAAGAGGTCCTTGAGCTGTGGCGACTGAAGGAGAACTTCTACCGTGGTCTGAGTCGTGATTGGCAGACTATCCCAAAAGATGTACCGACGATATCGTTTAGGGTTGATCGTTAATGTCTTTAGATTGGGAAGAGTGTCGCTGCACTCGAAGGGTGCATCAACATCCCAGGAGAGTGTTTTAATATAGGATAGCAGAGATTTGTTGCTTTCTAGAGCAGAAACAAGGTTGCGAATTCCATTGCGATCGATTTTGGTGATATCGATGGTATTGAAAAGGCGGCGTTGAGCTGGCTCGAGTGTGGCGCGAGCTAGGAGTGAAAAGCGAGAAAGTGAGCCAATATCTTCAGCGAACTCGTCAAAGATGAGCTCCAATACATCTGAAGAGAGGCTTGACATAATGGTTGTCATTGGTTGATGATCAGATCGATACAAGACCCATGCTTGAAGAATTCCTAATGTTAGAGGCACGTGGTCATTGTCCATGATAGTCTTACGAACCACCAAGACTTTCAGGAGGCGCTCCTAGCATCAACACGGCTGTCGATGAGACCAAAAATTATAACCTGAATAGGGTTTTACTTGGCACAAGAGTATTCGAAGAGTTCTGCGCAGACTGATTCCCTCTAGCCGACTTGAACGACTGACCTCGTCATAGTCTTTAAAGCCGGCAATGAGATACTAGTGACGCGCTCTACCACGGACTTGGAAATGCCGAACGGGAGGTGGAAGTGATCACCACGATAGTTTGATCTGGTACCTTGGCAACCAGTTCCAATCGGACAGTCTCGACTCTCGTCTGAAATTTAGCAAGTTCATGAGGTCAGACAGAGGTCAAACTTGGTGCGGCCAACAAGGGAGTACTGTATTGAATGAGACGGGATCACTTTCGTGACAACCTGCACAACCAAAATGTTGGCCGCATATGCTGGCCTCACGGATCACGTTCAATCGACCACGATAATATAGCGAGGCCCAACCCGAGATATGTCGACCGCAGTTGTAATCACGTTGGAGAAGTCCTACACGATAAGATGAGCCAGTCGTTCATGTGCAAGAGATGGGAAAGGGAGAACGACGCACCAACCACCAACCATAATTTGGGTTTAGAGAGCTGATGCAGGCAGTCAAGCATATGCAGCGACAAGTGCAAGACGTGTATTTGGGAGAGGTGTAGTGATCTTCAGGTGTGAAAGGTCAGCGATGCGAAAACGTGGTCAAATTGAGGTTTCCGAAAACGGAAGGGAGACGCACCTCCATTATCGATGGCCTCTCACGGTGGCATTAGGAGCCAGAGATTGCCCTATTAATAGACGGGGCCTGTCAGCGAGATGTGAATTTGTGGGGAGGAACAGATGCGAGAACCAGGTAGCTGAATGATAAATCCATTGACAAGCGATAAAAGCCCTACATGTTAGAGATTGCACAAATTAATCAGCACGACATATGAACACAGGCGTAAAATCTCACGAGAAAGTTCAAAAAGATTACTCTCAGTTCTGAGTTGTTCTTATTTGCCGGTTGGGCAGCGATTTTGGGAGCAGTGTATTTCGAAATCTAGGGCTTGTATAACAAACCAATTGGGGTCCGAATGCTGTCTCTGAGATGATCAGAAGCCCAAAGAAATAGAAGGAACAAGGATGCGTACCTTCGATACCTGACAGGCTCAAGATGAGCTTAGGCTAATTTACACCATGAAGCCAACTTGCCTTGACTGGGACAAGGCTCGCAATTGATCTTCAATGAAGGTGAAGACTTGGGATAAAATAATAAGAAAAGCAATATTCAAGGCCGACCATCGCTTCAAAGTGGAGTCACGGCTTCTCCAACAAACTTACCTGGAATGTGCAAGATCCTGTGGAAACCAGGGATAGGATAGGATATATTATACTTCGGAACAACCAGTTTACTGCGTGACGTCAGGGCATTGTATCGTGCAGTCATTTGTTGGCATGAAGTGACGACTCGCATCAGGGCCAAAGCGTCAGAGCAAGCTAAGCGAGAGGTTGTTAGAGTCCAGAGAATATATAGGACATCGAGGAAGGTAAAGCTGTTGATAAATCCCAACCTCCAGGTAGTCGTCGTCGACGTTAGACGCGGCGAATCACCCGCGATCAAAGCAAGAAAAGAAAGAAAATCATAATTTAACTGGGATCAAATTTCAAATATCAGAGCTCAGGGCTGCTCAGGGGGTATTTCCCATTACCAAACTCGAATCTTTGCAAAGCAGCTATCGTTGTGCTATCAGGATGTTGACCTCAGTTTCTAGTTTTGCTTGCTCTCGCTCACGGTCTCTTATCATATGGATTTTTCATTTCCACATGTCGATGAAGACGGCTATGACCTCTGGATTTTCTCCTGACTCGGCCGGTTCGAGTGATAGGTCTTCCTTATAACTGTTCCAAATTTCTTTAGATGAAGAGCTTCGCTGATGAGTGCGCATCAGCTGTAGTCAGTCGACTATTCGAAGGAACCAAATTGTGCGAGGTTTATTTTGCTCGCCTTGCAACTTTTGTTGATCATCTCGAAAGGTGGATATACCCTATTCGACTGGGATCGTCGTGGAAAGCCAACTGAACACTTTTGTTGGCGGAGCAGGGAACGAAGAAGGCGAAGAAATAAACGAAACTGAAGAAATAGGACTTAACTTGAATGAGACGATGAGGATACATGTCAATGATTGTTGAGGAGTATGTTTTATTGCTGTTCGTTAAATATGGTTTACAAATTTCAAGCATATTTGACACCAGCCTTCGACTGCATCCCAGTTTCCGCCTCGAGCGGGAAAGTCTGCTCGTCGGGCGTAGCAGTGTAGTATAACCTCTTCCAGTGCGACTTAAGCTCTGTCGGGGTCTTCCACGCTAGGTCTTCATTGCGAAGCCAGAGTCGAAGCAAGTGGCGCCTATAGAGTCACCCAAATATATCAATAAGCCAGAAAGACCAAAGAAATATGTGCGCACGCCTTCTCCGGTGTGTCTGTAAAGCCGTCTCGGGCGTGGAAGAGAGCCAAGTTGTTGATATATTGAATGTCTCCCTTTTGGAAGTTAAGGCCGAGGTTGTACTTCTCTCCCAAGAAATGGATGGCGTCGAGTGCCTCTGCTTGCGCTTCGGTGATTGGCGGGATGTCTGTGGAACGTGGTAATGCCTGGAACCCCACGAAGATTCTGCGTGCATATTGGATGATGATCTTGGAATCGTGGTAATAAAGGAGAGGACGAAGGGTATATGCAGGGTTTCCGCCAAACCTAGAAACCTACATATCAGACCAACTTCGCGCCGTTGTCCGCTCAACTCAATGCTTACCCGTCATGTGGCCAGGGCTCTGAGAGTGTCTTGATAAGATCAGGTCGAGTTGCAGCAAGCTCGTTGTACGCTTTCCAGGTGCTGCTAATCCGGGAGACACCACCTTCTGCGGCAGTCTCCAACGCAAATAGGGCGATAATGTCGCCGATATCAGTGTGGAATACTTGCTTGTCGGTTGTATAGGCAGGACCCCCAATCGACTTGGCAAACTCCGTCCGTGTCAGGTCTTTGATGTGTGCAAGGACAGCTGGAGTCTGCTGCACAGCGCGAAGATTTCCGACGTAGGAAGAGACGCCAGCGTAGATGATGGCGTTCTCTTCGCGAGTGTAGGAGTCTACAGGAATTGTGCGAAGGACAAAGAATCCCCGGCCAGTGTGGATTTCGCGGGCAAGATCAGCAAGGATTGGGCCAAGAGTGGGCAAAGGAAATGTCGACTGCGCAATGTAACCCAGTGGCTTGTCCAAAGCTACCCGACTTTTATCAGAATGAAAATGGCATGGAGGATGTCTCAGAGACATACCGCGGAAGTGTTTGACGCCGTCGTCAATCTCCTTTAGTTGATCGGCATTGAGCTCGTAGACCCACTCCTTCTCGTCCTTCCAATCGCTGCCCTCCCAAACGAGTGGCGAGTGAACTTTGGCTGGGAAGTCATCCGGTAGGGGTGTATTTGGAAGCGAAGGGTCTTCAGCAAGTCGCCTTGCTGTTCGTGCTTGCCATTTTGCCTCGTCCGGATGGTATTCTATATCGGGTTGCTGAGCAGGTTTCTCCTCGCGTTGCTCGGGAGCGGTAGGTGAGAGGTGCAATGTATTCTTGAAATAGTCGGAAACCTGTTGAACTGCGACAGCGGCCATGGCGAATGGTAATGCACAAACCAGCCATTTTGATCACGAAGGTATAGGGAACTAAACTGCACGCAAGAGTAGGACTGAATGGTGCGACATGGCGTTTGGAAAGTATGAATAATCTTGAGGATGACAAAGACCAACGGATGACCATGCCACCCCATGCCACAAGGTCCCACTGCCAGAAGAATGGGCAAGCATTTCTATGACCATGACCTTTTGAGGGCCGCTGTAAATCCATACAATAGCACAACTTTGATGGTTATGTTGAGTGTTCGGGAGGGTAACCCGAAGGTGATGGCGTCATTCCTCGCGATATGACGGTATGTCGGTTAAGCGCGAGATAAGTGTCTTAACACTGACCCGGTCCACAGGAGGCGCGCCGATCGGCAACAGAGAACATTATCTGGAACCTGTTGCTGAACAAGTTTCTAGGGCATGCCTCCACCGTCTCATTCTTTGCAGCGCGTAAGCCCAATGTTGAAGGTTTAGGTCTTGCCTCGCCAAAGTGCCACACCCCCGCACCCCGAAATCCGAAGTGCAGTTTCCTTCGTCAATTCGAAGAGTTGACGCATGCCTGAGAGCGCATCTTCATCGTCGCAATGATCAATCAATGCCTAGAATTCGAGAGCAGACCAAAGGTACGCACAAACGGTATATATCTTATAATCAAGAGTTGGGAGGCGGTTAAAACGGTTGGGAGGTGCCGGTGATGGCCGAACTACCCGGGATCACTAACCACCAACCACTGAAAGTGAAAACGACAAGACTGCGAACCAGACCCCCAATTGAATTAAAGAACGAAAAATACAATCATACTAACCCACTGATCACCAGTAACCGGCAAATTGCATATAAATAATTTTGTGTTAAGGAACAGATCCAAGAACGAGGCATCCATATTCATTGTAAACCGAGGAAGGCCCTATATAGTTAGAGATTGTACAAGTTGCATGGTATGTTTAAACAGGCGGAAAAACTCACGAGAAAGTTCACACAGGGGTTACTGCCAGTTGGGCAGCGATTGCGGGAGATAGCTGGAGCCAGCGTATTTCGAGATCTGGGACTCGTATCACAGACCAATTGGAGGCCGAATGCTGTTGAGATGATCATAAGCCCAAAGAAACAGGAGAAACGGGAATACGTACGTTTGATACCTGACTGGCCTAAGACTGCTCCGCCCCTCAGATGAACTTATACTGCACAACAAAGTCTGACTTGCCCTTGAGTAGGAGAAAGCTCGCAATCAAGGATTTAAGATGAAGAAATATTCAGGACTTACCGCAGCTTAGTGGAGTCGCGTCTTCTTCGGTGAATAACCACTGAAATGAATAAGATCCTGCGGGGAACCGAGCCATTGCACTATGCGGTCGTTGGTTGGCACCAGGGCCAGACGTCAGAGCAAGCTAAATGAGATGTTTAAGAATCTAGAGAGTAAATGGGATATCGAAGAAGACAAAGCCATTGATAAGTTTAAACCTCCCTGAGGTAGTCGTCGTCGACGCGGTACACTCACAGCGATCAAAAACAACTTTTGATTTTCTAGTGAACTTTAAATATATCTATTTTTAGTTTCGAT